GTGGGAGGCACATATGCAAACTGTTGCAATTCCTACACCTGATTTGGATGTAAATACCCTCAAATTAAAGCTGACAGTCTGCAGTTAAAGCATATCTTGTTCGTTTCATTTCAATCCATTGTGGTGGTGTATAGAGCCAAAAATGTTAGAATTGTGTCGTTGTCCCAATATTTATGGACCTGACTGTATGTCGTCTTGAGAAAAGGACCCTGCATGACCCTGAAATGTTGGGTTCAGTACATTTTGACAAATTTGACTGCACAAAGAGAGTATATTTGCACTGTAGTGCTGGTGACTGCTCCTCTTTCCACTATTTTTTTTTTTTTTTAAATCACTTTACTAGTCAGTAGGCTTACTGGTGAGAATATCTGAATGTTACATGATTGTTTTACATAACAGTTACCACATGAACATGTACACTACCAAGCCTAACCATTTGTGTAAAGTTTTGTGGAGAGAATAGCAACTTGCCAAGCAAAACTGTTGCAGCCAGCTGATTTCTCCCACAAGATTGGCATAAAGGTACACTCATGGCTAAAAATATTGGCACCCTTGCATTTCTGTCAGATAATGCACCACTTCACCCAGAAAATTGTTGCAATTACAAATGTTTAAGCATTCTCGTGTTCATTTCTTTTGTTTGTATTGGTATGACACATAAAAATGGAGAAACAAAAAGCCAAACTGACGCATTCCACGCGAAACCCCACTGGCCCCGCACTGGACTGGACAAAATTATTGGCACCTTTTCAAAATTATAAGAAATAATTGCATGCCAAGTTTGCAATTATTCACCTGTATCAATTAACAGGTGCTGACAATATAGAAATCACACCGGCAACCAGATAAATTGAATCAACCTTTCTGTCATGTGTCTCTGTATGCCACATGAAGCATGGAGAAGAGAAAGAGCAGCAAAGAATTGTCTCAGAATTTGAGAAGAAAAATTGTGGAAAAGCATGGACAACCTCAAGTCCATCTCCAGAGATCTTAACCGCTTTTCCTCCGGGACCCGGTGATTGACAGACTAGGCTCGCACACGGCCCCCTACCCGGAAATTCAAAATCATGTATATATACACACCTGATTTTGCGCACCCCTGCCGCCCTGTAGCAGTATATCTGCTATACTGTCAATCACCAGGTCCCAGATGGTGATGATGGCACCCGGAGATCGCCGAGCATTACCCACAGGGGAGAGAACAGTATGTAAACAATACAGTTTCTCCCCTGTCAGCTCCTGCACACTGTTTTGTATGTCTCTGCATAGCAGAGCCATACAAAGCAGTGTGCTTACAGTTGAAAGCACACACATAGCTTGTAGTAAAACAGCACACAGTTAACCCTTTGATCGCCCACAAGTTAACCCCTTGCTGCCCAGTGTCATTAGTACAGTGTCAGTGATTTTTATTAGCACTGATCACTGTATTGTCACTGGAGATGTCCGTGACACCAAGTCAGTTCCCCCCAGTGTCAGAATGCCTGCCACAGTACCGCTATAAGTTGCTGATTGCCGCTATTACTAGTAAAAAAAGCAAAGACATGTAGCAGAATATATTTTGGCCTAAATTTATAACAATATTTGTTATTTTTATTTTTTTACTGGATATGTTTAATAGCAAAATGTAAAAATATTGTTTATTTTCTCAAAATTGTCAGCCTATTTCTTTTTTCTTGCAAGAAATATAAAACGCACAAGCGATCAAATACTACTGAAAGAAACATCTATTCATGGGAAAAAGGGGATGTAAATTTCATTTGGGTGCAGGTTTGCATGACCGTGCAATTGTCAGTTAAAGTAACACAGCGCCATAACACAAACAATGGCCTGGTCATTGTCAAGAAGGTTACAGCCCATGGCACTGACCAAAGACTGTGGCAAAGGATTGTTTGAATGGTGGATAAAGACCCTCGATCAGCTTCCAGACAAATTCAAGCTGATCTTCAGGGACAGGGTACAACTGTGTTAGCTCACACTTTATGTTGTCATGTGAATGAAAAGGGACGCTATGGTAGGAGACCCAGGACGACCCCACTGCTGACACAGAAACATAAAAAAAACCAGACTGGAGTTGCCAAAACTTACTTGAGGAAGACAAAATCCTTTTTGGAGAATGTGCTGTGGACAGACAAAACAAAATTACAGCTTTTGGGTACAGCCTATCATTCTATTGTTTTCAGAAAAAGAAATGAGGCCTCTAAAGCAAAGAATACAGTCAAACATGGTGGAAGTTCACTGATGTTTTGGGGTTCTTTTACTGCTTCAGGCACTGGATGTCTTGACCGTGTGCATGACATTATGGGTCTTAAGTTGTTCAGGTTGGTGGGGTCCAGGGAGGGCTTTATAAGTATGGGAGTGATGTGCGCATGCTTTAGAGGGGAGGGGAAGGCACCGTCAGAGAGGGAAAGATTGAAGATGTGAGTGAGGGAGCATAGGATGGAAGGAGAGGGTGAACGTAGTAGTTGTGAGGGGACAGGATCGAGGGGGCAGGTGGTGGGACGGGCTTCCAAGATAACCTTAGTAGCATGGTCAAAAGAGGAAAGTGTCGAGGGAGGTTTAGTATAAGGTATGCTAAGTGGGATGGATATCTGTGCAGCGGCGATGCCCCTATGAATTGCGTCAATCTTGTTTTTGAAATGATTTGCAATCTCGTGAGCAGTGAGTGAGGTACTGGCTGGAGGTGGACAAAGTAGAGAGTTAAAAGTAGAGAAGAGACGACGAGGATTGGATGATAAGGTATTAATAACAGTGACAAAGCAGGCTTGTTTGGCAGCATGAAGGGAGGAATTGTATGTTAAGAAAGCAGATTTATATCAGGTGAATGCTTGCTGGGATTTGGTTTTACGCCACAATCGCTCCAGCGCACAACTATGTTGTTTAAGATTTCTGGTGTCATCAGTCTGCCACGGTTGCAATGGTCGGGGCCTGATGCTTCATGTTGTTAGAGGAGCAAGCGAGTCTAATGTGGATGAAAGCGAACTGTTGTAGACAGCAATGGCCAGTTCAGGGCAGGACAGGGGAGATATTATGTCATAGAGTTGGTCAGTTGCAGAGTGGAAAGGAGCAGGGTTCAAGTTGTAAAGGTTTCTGTGATTAATTGTTTGCCGCTTGGAGGGATAAGTGTTTGATCACAATCTCATCGCCTTCACAGTGTCCTTGTCTTCAGAGAGAGGAAAGGGGGTGTTTGTGAGGTTGTAGGGAGTGCAAAGATGGGAGAAAACAAGGTCTAATGTATTCCCATCAGAGTAAGTGGAGGACTGTATACACTGTACTAATGCAAAAGATGAGGTTAGGTTGAAGAGTTGGGATGTAGCCGGGTTGTTGACACTGATAGGGATGTTAAAATCTCCAAGAATGATAGTGGGTAGTTCAGAGGAGAGAAAGTAGGGTAGCCAGGTGGAGAAATCATCAAGAAAGTGGGACACCAGTCCAGGAGGCCGATAGATCACTGCAATCCTTAGAGAAATGGGAGAAAACAGCCGGATGCAGTGAGTCTCGAAAGAAGAGAAGCATAGAGAGGGAGGGTTAGGGAGGACTTGAAAGGTGCTCAGTGGGGATAGAAGCAAACCAACCCCACCACCTTTCCAACCACTGGGTCTGGGTGAGTGGGTCCAGATGAGGCCTCCATAGGAAAGTGCTGTGGAGGAAGCAGAATCTGCTGCTTGGAGCCAGGTTTCTGTAATTGCTAGTAGGTTAAGGGAGCGGGAGACAAAAAGGTCATGGACAGAGGTGAGCTTATTACAGACAGAGCGGGCATTCCAGAGTGCACATGAAAAAGGGAGGGTGGTTTTTGGGGACTGATATTAAATTGAGGGGATTGCGGTTACTACCGGAAGAAGGAGGATGCCTAGTGTGTGGGTGAAATACTGGAGGACCAGGGTTTGGGGAGATATCCCCAGAGGTTAGGAGAAGAAGAAGGGTGAGGAAAGTAACATGGGAGCGGGATTTACACGAGTGCACATGCCTTCCAGTCCTGGTGTTTGGATCAGCAGGAGAGTGAAGTATCAGCAGGAGGTGATGAGAGCAGTAGTCGGGAGATGGTAGCAGTGAGGGGGAGATGTACAAGTTTTGGGGTGGAGCAGAGGGATAAAGAAGTGAGATTTTGGGAACGCAGGAAAGTAATATGAAAAGGAGCAGTGGAGGGGACATTTTAAAAGGTACACAGAGTGCTGAATTATTTTGTTCCTGAGGGCAGCTGCAGTTGTTTCTAGGCTTAAAGATACCATATCCGTTTCTTTTGATGCAGCTCATGGCACCTGAAACAAAGAACAGTAGCCTGTAGCTTTTACTAGTATTGTTACTAGGCTGTGTTCCCTGAGAGGCTCTAAAGCAGTGGTTCTCAACCTTCCTAATGCTGCGACCCTTTAATACAATTCCTCATGTTGTGATGACCCCCCAACCATAAAATTATTTTCGTTGCCACTTCATAACTGTAATTTTGCAGTGGGAGGAGTAGTGCCACATCACTGATGTCAGTGGAAGGAATAGTGTCCCATCATTGGTATCAGTGGGAGGAATAGTGCCACATTGTTTGTGTCAGTGGGAGGAATAGTGCCCCATCATTGGTATCAGTGGGAGGAATAGTGCCCCATTATTGGTGTCAGTGTGGGAGGAATAGTGCCCCATCATTGGTGTCAGTGGCGGGAGGAATAGTGCCCCATCTGTGTCAGTGGCGGGAGGAATAGAGCCCCATCGTTGGTGTCAGTGTAGGAAGAAATAGTGCCCCATCGTTGGTGTCAGTGGGGGGGAAATAGTGCCCCATCATTGGTGTCAGTGGGAAAAATAGTGACACTAATGATGGGGCACTATTCCTCCCACTGTCACCAATGATACTTACCTTGCTGACCCCTGCTCCAGCCTGGCCTTGCTCCCTCCCTCTCCCATCTACAGCCAGCATACCTGGCTGCAGCAGCACCATCTGCATGGTACAGACACTTTTCGGTCAGTTGTCTTCCTTCTCCGGCTGCTCCCTCACTCGATCTTCTTTGATCTTCGCGCTGCCGCTCGGCTCCTCCTCTCCAAGCTCCACCTCCTCGCCGGTGATTGGCCACCTGTGTGCCTCTCCTGAGCTACAGTTCCGGCGGCCAATCACCGGCGAGGAGGCAGAGCTGTTGAGTGATCCCGGGGGTGTGGCCAGATGACAGAGTCGACATGTCATCCTGCCCACACATCGCAGTCCAGGGAAATGTGGGCGGACCCGCCTGGAGACGGATAGAGGAGCGGTGTCTCGGTTCCTAAGACCATCAAAAATATGTGTTTTCCGATGGTCTTAGGTGACCCCTGTGAAAGGGTTGTTCGACCCCCGGTTGAGAACCGCTGCCGTAAAGCTATCAAAACTTTTCCCATTCTTTACTTGAAAGAGTTTTGTACAGGGATTGAAAAACTCTTGATAAACCGTTCAACCCCATGCAAATATTTTATTGACCAAGTACCCACCTTTATCAAGAAGTGGTCCATTCCCAATGTAGATATATTACAGGTATTTATACAGTGCCAATAATTTATGCAGCGCTATACATATGCTGTCTTGTACATTTACATCATTCCAACCCTCATGGAGCTTGCAATTTAATTCCTATGTCCCATACATACATACATACAGTTGTGTTCAAAATAATAGCAGTGTGTTGAAAAAAGTGAATAAAGCTCAAAATCCCTCTAATAGCTTTTATTTCCATACACACAAATGCATTGGGAACACTACACATTCTATTCCAAATCAAAACATGAAGAAAAATATATCAAACTTGTGTTGTTCCTCTAAAAAAATTGAAGAAAAGTGAATATTAGACTGTTCAAAAAAATAGCAGTTTGTATTCTTCTTTACAAACTCAAACATTCACTATATAAACTGAAAAATGTTTGAAGATTTTGCTTTCCTTTGAATCACTTAATTAATTAATCCAAAAAATTATTATTAAACCTTCAAAATGGTGTCTAATTTAGATTCCTCCAGAATACACCATCAGATTTAAATCATTGCGCCTATGTACCGTATTTTCCGGCGTATAAGACGACTTTTTACCCCTTGAAAATCTTCACAAAAGTCGGGAGTCGTCTTATACGCCGGTAACGGCATGCTGACTTTTTAGGGGGGCGGTGCCGCCACCGCCCCCCCCTTCCAACAGAAGGGAAACTAAGTACAGGGGTGAGCAGGGGCTGCTGTCTCTTACCTGGCTCCTTTCCCACGACGATCCGGTCCAGGAAGCACGGCTGCTCCTTCCTTCGGTTCGTCCACTGGATGTTCGCACGGCTGCTCGGCTCCGCCTCCTCACTGGTAATTGGCCGCCAGAACTGTAGCTCAGGAAAGGCACACAGGCGGCCAATCACCGGCGAGGAGGCGGAGCTGAGCGGCCCCGCGAAAATCGAGTGGAGATGCAGGTAAGTGTGCCGTGCTTAGGTGCTGCTGCAACCACATATGCTGGCTGCAGCAGCACCGTACTGGAACAGGGGTCAGCAAGTGTCAGTGGGAGGAATAGTGCCCCATCGTTGGTGTCACTGATACCAATGATGGGGCATTATTCCTCCCACTGACACCAACGATGGGGCACTTTTCCTCCCCCCCACTGACACCAACGATGGGGCACTATTCCTCCCCCCCCACTGACACCAACGATTGGGCACTATTCCTCCCCCCCCACTGACACCAATGATGGGGCACTATTCCACCCCCCACTGACACCAATGATGGGGCACTATTCCACCCCCCACTGACACCAATGATGGGGCACTATTCCACCCCCACTGACACCAATGATGGGGCACTATTCCACCCCCACTGACACCAATGATGGGATACTATTCCTCCCCCCCCCCACTGACACCAACGATGGGGCACTATTCCCCCCCCCCCCCACTGACACCAATGATGGGATACTATTCCTCCCACTGACACCAAAGATGGGGCACTATTCCACTGACACCAATGATGGGGTGCTATTCCCCCCAATGATACTAATGATGGGGCACTATTCCTGCCACTGATACCAAATGATGGGACACTATTCCTCCCACTGATACCAATGATGGGACACTATTCCTCCCACTGATACCAATGATGGGGCACTATTCCTCCCACTGATACCAATGATGGGACACTATTCCTCCCACTGACAACAATGATGGGGCACTATTCCTGCCACTGATACTAATGATGGGGCACTATTCCTGCCACTGATACCAATGATGGGGCACTATTCCTCCCACTGACACCAATGATGGGGCACTATTCCTCCCACTGACACCAATGATGGGGCACTATTCCTCCCACTGATACCAATGATGGGCCACTATTCCTTCCACTAATACCAATGATGGGGCACTATTCCTCCCACTGACACCAATGATGGGGCACTATTCCTCCTACTGACACCAATGATGGGGCACGATTCTTCCCACTGGTGTGCACTGGAAGAGGGGTAGTCTTATACGGCGAGTATAGCCCAAACACTACATTTTAAACAGGAAAAGTAGGGGGTCGTCTTATACGCCCAGTCGTCTTATACGCCGGAAAATACGGTACTTAGAAGTAACATATAAAATCTTAAAGTGGGTGCTGCTATTACAAAACCACTGTAACTTATAGCAAAAATTGTGATCAATAAATAAATTAAATATATGTGCCACAAATAATAGCGCAACCCTTGAATATATAAATAATATTAATTCATATGAACACCACCACCATAAAGTGCAAAATTAATCAAATCTGTTGAATCCTCATGAAGTCCATTCAAAAAAGTCCACATCATATATGATCCTCAATTAATGAAGTCATGAAGTAAACTTTCACCAGTGTAGTAATCAGTGCTTAAAACAACCCATCAAAATGCACACTCACCAGAACCTGGTGAAAAACCAGCGTATCTGTATAGATCCAGCACTCCACCACTGAACTTCATCCAGAACCTGGTGATAAACCAGCGTATCTATATAGATCCAGCACTCCACCACTGAACTCCAGCTTATGGATATCCAAAATACACCATATAGTACATGCAGATAAAAAGAACACTCGCCATAGTGCAAATAATTATTTACGTTATTTGAATAAATGAATACGTTATTTGCACTATGGCGAGTGTTCTTTTTATCTACATGTACTATATGGAGTATTTTGGATATCCATAAGCTGGAGTTCAGTGATGGAGTGCTGGATCTATATAGATACACTGGTTTTTCACCAGGTTCTGGTGAGTGTGCATTTTGATGGGGTGTTTCAAGCACAGATTACTACACTGGTGAAAGTTTACTTCATGACTTCAATAATTGAGGATCATATATGATATGGACTTTTTTGAATGGACTTCATGAGGATTCAACAGATTTATTTGATTAATTTTGCACTTTATGGTGGTGGTGTTCATATGAATTAATATTATTTATATAATTTATATATTCAAGGGTTGCGCTATTATTTGTGGCACATATATTTAATTTATTTATTGATCACAATTTTCACTTAATTAATATTTAGTTGTATAAGCACTGTTTCTGAGAACTGCTGTACATCTGTGTTGCATGGAGTCAACCAACTTCTGGCACCTGTGAACAGGTATTCCAGCCCAGGATGATTGGACTACATTCCACAGTTCTCTATTTCTTGGTTTTGCCTCAGAAACTGCATTTTTGATGTCACCCCAAAAGTTTTCTATTGGATTAAGATCCAGGGATTGGGCTGGCCACTCCATAACGTCAATCTTGTTGGTCTGGAACCAAGATGTTGCATGTTTACTGGTGTGTTTGGGGTCGTTGTCTTGTTGGAACACCCATTTCAAGGGCATTTCCTCTTCAGCATAAGGCAGCATGACCTATTCAAGTATTCTGATGTATTCAAACTGATCCATGATCCCTGCTATGCGATAAATAGTCCCAACACCGTATTATGAGAAACATCCCCATATCATGATGCTTGCACAACCATGCTTCACTGTCTTCACAGTGTACTGTGGCTTGAATTCAGTGTTTGGGGGTCGTCTGACAAACTGTCTCCGCCCACTAGACCCAAAAAGAACAATCTTACTTTCATCAGTCCACAAAACGTTGCATCATTTCTCTTTAGGCCAGTCAATGTGCTCTTTGGCAAATTGTAACCTCCTCAGCACGTGTCTTTTTTTCAACAGTGGGACTTTGCGGGGGCTTCTTGCAGATAGCTTGTCTTCACATAGGCATCTTCTAATTGTAACAGTACTCACAGGTAACTTTAGACCTTCTTTGATCTTCCTGGAGCTGATTGTTGGCTGAGTCCTTGCCATTTTGGCTATTCTTCTATCCATTCGAATGGTAGTTTTTTTGCTTTCTTCCACGTCTTTCAGGTTTTGGTTGCCATTTTAAAGCATTTGCGATAATTTTAGCAGAGCAGCCTATCATTTTCTGCACTACTTTATATGTTTTCCCCTCTCCAATCAACTTTTTAATCAAGGTACGCTGTTCTTCTGAACAATGTCTGGAACGACCCATTACCTCAGAATTTCAGAGAGAAATGCACTGTAACCAGCATGTACAACATTTGCTGCCTTCCTTCCTTAACCTCCCTGGCGGTATGATTATTTCAGATTTTTGGTGCTGAAAGCGGTACCATTGTTTTGCATGGAAATATGTATTTTTTTTATTGTAGGCTGTAATTTTTAGGAAAAACTCACTGAAATCTGTCCGAACAAGAGTCTAGTAAACATCCCGGGTATGATAAAATTTGAAACACAAAATCATAAATTATAATTTAATAAATAATCATAAAAATAATATAAAAATAATAAAAAATGTAATTCAATAATATAATCAAACCAAAAACACTGAAATGTGAAATAGAGCGCCAAGTTCGCACATTGCTGAGCTCAGTCGCAAAATCGTTTTCAGTTTCTGATGACGAATTTCCCCCACGAATCATTATCACTCAATTCTGTAAGTGGTTCTGATTTACTATCGCTGTTCTCTAGCTGATCTAAACCGCTTTTGACCTAAAGGGACACTTTTTGGATGCCATGGACATTTCTCAGTTTCCAGGCAGAAAGAACAGACAAAATGCAGGCAGGGCGCAGGACAAAGCACTAGGGACAATATGTATGTGAAATAGGTTGAAACAGCAATGTTTTACTGTGTAAAATGAAAAAAAAAAAAAATGACATTTTTTAAAATTTTTAAATTTCCCGCCGCCGGCGGCGGCGGCGCCCGTACGTCCCGACGTCACAGGGACAGGACACAGAAGCCGGATGCCGGCATTGGCCGGAGGAGATGGCCGGGGACGCTGCAGGGGACACATCGTGGGAGCGCAGGGTAAGGTAAGTGAAGAACACATGCCGGAGCAGCGCCGCAGGGTAAGCCCGAGTGTAGCTTGGGGTTACCGCTTTTGGTACTGAAATGTTACCCCGAGCTACACTCGGGAATACCCCCAAGGAGGTTAAATAAGGACAATAATTGCCACCTGTTTTTCAAAGAACGAATGACCTCACTAATAGAACATCACACTGCTATTATTTTGAACATGCCCCTTTCAATGAGTGATTCAATTACACAGAATCAGCAGCATGCATGTAATGACTGTTGGGTCTGTTGGATTTCTATTACTCTACTGCACCTGCTAGTAAATTATTTGCTATGTAGAAATATCATTTCTACCAAAAACAGTGATGGATCAGGTTAGTGATGTCTGACTGCTATTATTTTGAATACAACTGTACATACACATATTAGGGCTAATTTAAACAGGAACCAAATAACTTACCAGCATGTCTTTGGAGTGTAGGTAGGTTCGTGCTTGGAATTTGAACAGAAGACCCTAGTTCTGTAAGGTCCATGACTTGGACTGGTCCCACTGCGGATGTTTTTATTTTTATGCAGTGCTGTTTAAACTTTCCTTTTTTGTTTTTCCTATTTTATTCCCTTATCTATGCTGGCAAGCAAAACTACTTCCTTCATTCCTCCCTTCTGTCCATCTTTCTCCTCACATAGCAAGGCAATTAAGCTCTTAACATTCAGTTTTGATTTCTAATATCAGCACTGAAGGGGTGAAGCTGTGCTTGGGTGTCTACTAATTATTACAAAACTACCCAGTTCTACCCAAAAAAAAATTCTCAACCTCCATCACCATGATAAATACAGTTCACAGGTGCATCCATGGTTAAAATTGAAACATGACAAGTATCCTCTAAATGTGAAATTCAATCAAATACGGTCTTTCTTGTATTCCAACTTCAGTGATTTTTCATCCATTGTGGCTCTACCCAATGAAAATTCCAAACACAATTATGCATTCACTAAACCACACCAAATAACACTTGTGGGAATCAGTGATTTTTTTCAAAGTATGTAGCTGCTGGGCATTTGTCTTTTACTTTTGAGTTGTAGAGTTAGCACAAACACATCTCTATTTTGTCTGCTAATTAGGCAGTGGCAGACTGAAATTATTGTTAACAATTTATAATGTCCTTGAATTTGTATAAAATGTGTGTATACATATTGTATATATTGTGTTGCTTCCAGAGTTCATATTTTATGCTTGTGTAAACGCTCCTCACAGGATGTTGAAGGGGAGCCATGCATTGATCTATGATGGTTTGCTTGTTGCTTTGAAAAATAAAAACTTAATGGAAGTTACTACCTCAACTTTCTTCCTTTTTAAGAACCCTATCACATATGGTGACAGTGGTAGGAACTGACACAAGCATGAATGGATGCTGATCCTGGAGTATGAGAAAGCATAGTGCGAGAGCTACTTCCAAATCCGATAACGCCATGACGTCACGCCGCTGGAGCAACGTGGAGCTCCGGTGGCCATCTTTAATCCAGGACGGTTAGTCCAATAAAACCTATGCTACATACAGATCATTGTTATCTCACTTGGATACCTGCTATTACTGTCTGGATGTTTTTACCCTCAATAAACTAGCCTTACTACACTATGGAGATCTCTCTGCTTTAACTCCCCTGGGGAGGATTAATTTACAGATACCCAGTATCCAGAGAGGGAGCCCCTGTACACCTGGTGAGCTGACCCGTCCATCCTTTAAAGGGATCTCTGGCACCCTCCCAGTATACATCAGATGCCCCAGGATCCAGACCCATCCATTACTTCATTCCTGTCCATATTTGGATGACCTTGATGACATCAAGATTTTTATATACAAATGCGCATTTACTATGCGTTCCGGTGAGTGCGCATTCTCCTCATTCCTGACTGCACAAGCACTGAGTTCTAGATGAACACAGGATTCCTGTTTACATTAACAGTCACTCTATGAACTATTCTCACTCATATTTATTTCATTTTAGTGATTTTTGATAATTTTCTGTACCTATTTTTAGCGCTGCACTCTATTTTATTTTGTCTATTTGTGAAAGCATAGTTTGCTCTCAGGAGCTCAGTAAATTCAAGTGTGGTACCATGATAGGTTGCCACCTGTGCAATAAGTCCATATGTGAAATTTCCTTGCTACTTCATATTCCACGGTCAACTGTTAGTAGTATTATAACAAAGTGAAAGCAACTGGGAACAACAGCAACCCAGCCACAAAGTGATTGGCTATGAAAAATGACAGAGCGGGGTCAGCGCATGCTGAAGCACACAGTGCACAGAAGTTGCCAACTGTCTGCAGAGTCAATAGCTAAAGACCTCCAAACTTTGTGTGGCCTTCAGATTAGCACAACAGTGTGTAGAGAACTTCATGGAATGGATTTCCATGGTCAAGTGGCTGTATCCAAGCCTTGCATCACCAAGTGTAATGCAAAGCATCAGATGCAGTGGTGTAAAGTATGCCGCTACTGGACTCTAGAGCAGTGGAGATGTGTTCTCTGGAGTGACGAATCACGCTTCTCTGTCTGGCAATCTGAAGGATGTGTCTGGGATTGGCATTTGCCAGGAGAATGGTACTTGTGCCATGTGTAAAGTTTGGTGGAAGGGGGATTATGGTGTGGGGTTGCTTTTCAGGAGTTGGGCTTGGCCCCTTAGTTCAAGTGAAGGGAACTCTTAAGACATCAGCATAACAAGACATTTTGGACAATTTCACCCTCCAAACTTTGTGGGAACAGTTGGGGGATGGCCCCTTCCTGTTCCAACATGACTGCGCACTAGTGCACAAAGCAAGGTCCATAAAGACATGGATGAGTGAGTTTGGGGTGGAGGAACTTGACTGGCCTCCACAAAGTCATGACCTCAACCCAATAGAATACCTTTCGGATGAATTAGAGCGGAGACTGGGGGCCAGGCCTTTTCGTCCGACATCAGTGCCTGACCTCACAAATGCGCTTCTGGAAGAATGGTCAAACATTCCCATAGACACCCTCCTAAACCTTGTGGACAGCCTTCCCAGAAGAGTTGAAGATGTTACAGCTACAAAGGGTGTGCCAACTCAATATTGAACCCTATGGACTAAGACTGGGATGCCATTAAAGTTCATGTGTGTGTAAAGGCAGGCGTCCCAATACATTTGGCAATATAGTGCACGCATTATTTGCATGAGTTATATGTTTAACTGCCTCCCGCCGCCATATAAGGTAATGACGGGCGCAAGGCGGTTCTCTCGTTCTGGGACAATTGGTGGTGCGCTGTGTCCCTCGGACACAGCGGATCACCGATCAACGGAAAGAGCTGAAGATGTCGGCTCTGTCATGTGGTCAGCTGTGTCCAATCACAGCTGCTCGCATGTAAATAGGGAAATGCCGGTTATCGGCATTTCTCTCCTCACTAGCTGTCACACTGACAGCTCATGAGGAGAGCCAGTAACTGGCATTCCTCAGAGGGGACATGTACACTGATCTTCAGGGCACTGATGATCAGTGTGCCCTGATTATCAGTGTAGCCCCAGCAGTGCCACCTGTCAGTGCCCATCAATGCCACCTGTCAGTGCTCATCAATGCCACCTGCCAGTGCCCATCAGTGCCTCATCAATGCCACATATCTGTGCCTACCAGTGCGCATCAATGCCACATATCAGTGCCCATCTGAGCTGCCTTTCAGTGCTTCCTATCAATGCCAGTCAGTGCCGCCTATCAGTGCCCGTCAGTGCTGCCTATCAGTGTCGCCTAACAGTGCCAGTCAGTGCCACCTATCAGTTCCAGTCAGTGCCACCTATCAGTGCCATATATGAGTGCTGGCTTTCAGTGCCCATCAGTGATGCCTGTCTATGCCCATCAGTGCCACCTACTAGTGCCTCCTCATCAGTGCCACCTATCAGTGCCCATCAGTGCAGCCTATCCCTGCCCATCACTACAGCCTCATTAGCGCACATCAGTGAAGGAGAAAAATCACTTATTTACAAAATTTTATAATAAAAACTAAGAACTTTTTTTTTTTTCAAAATTTTCAGTTGTTTTTGGTTTGTTTCGCAAAAAATAAAAAAAAAAACAGAGGTAATTAAATACCATCAAAAGAAAGTGCTATCTGTCTCAAAAATTATAAAAATTTCATATGGGTACAGTGTTGCATGACCGCGCAATTGTCATTCAAAATGCGACAGCACTGAAAGCTGAAAACTGGCCTGGGCAGGAAGGGGATATAAGTGCCCTGTAGGCAAGTGGTTAATGGATAAACCACATATATTTTATATTTCTCCACTTTACACTTAATGTATATAATGTGACTTAAATATTTTTGGAGCTTCACTTTTTTATTATATTTTAGCTATTTGGTATCACAAATTTTAGTGTTGGCTGCTTAGTGACTTTTAACTAAGCGCAGTGATTTTTGTGTTTTACTAGTTTTAAGACCAGCATTAAAGGACACCCCTCCTTTCCAAAATGTGCCTGGGGGGAATAGTGTCTGTTGGCCTTTTAAGGACACCTGAACAGAAAACCTCTCAGGTGCCTGGAAAAGAGATGTGGTCTTCACAGGCTAAAACTATGGTTATACTCTCTGACCCCCCCCCCCCCCCCATGTTGTCCAATTTCACCCCCTTCTCACCTAAGGGAAACTAAATTGTAATGCCTAAGCACAATTTTGCAACTTTGACATGTGTTAGTAAAAACCGTACATATCGCCACAACTAATTTGTGCATCTTTGAGCAATTTAGCTTTATATTTCCTGCCACTACCACCAAACAAAAACAAAAAATGAATTCTCCTGCTCCTGCCAATCACATTGATACCAACAATATGTGTATGTTAGTTGTATGTACCCATAATACAGCCCAGAAACAATAGTGTGTATTTTGCTTTTTTTATCCTACCTAAAATATACTGACACAGTGGATACTAAAAAAAAATACTCATACTCATGCAGAGACCAAAAAAGGAGGAGGCCACATAGCGTGATACTGCTTCAAAATGTATTCCAGTCAAAATATAGTAACAGAAAAAAACAGTGACCATGAATAGGCAAGATGGCTGCCGGACCACCACAGGGTCTCAACAGCGTGACGTCAGGGCGTTGTAGCTCCTCCCTGACGCGTTTCGTGCTATGCACATACTCATAGGGGGTATGCTATCAACGCCTGACGTCTATGATGGTTCTTTAAATATTGAGAAATGGCGCTCGGATGATCGCGTCCGCCATTTTCCCAGCGACTGCAGGCATGCAAGAAGCACGCACGTCCGCATTTGCACAATGTTACTGCGCATGTGCCATATTCAGGCACCATTTTGTCGTAGCTTGCTGAAACGCCATGCAAGGCGATGCGCGCGCATCACCGCGCCATTGCTCTGGTGTGTTTTATAACAAAGGACAATGATCACCATTTTGGGAAAGAAATGTGAGACGTTACTTTCCCAAGGTTACAGCGATAGCCACCTAGTGTTATTTAAACAAAATTCCACTGGTTTGCAAATTAATATGTATCCATGGTGTCTATATAAGGATTCAACCCCTGCATATTGCTTTTTATCATGAGCGGTTAATATAAATATAAAATTCAATGCATATAGATATTTGTAAAAAAAAACAATAAAATAATTGGCTAAAGTGATCATTGTACAATTGTTGATAAAACGTAATCCTTAAAATCGTAATGAATTATCAAATAAAATATCAAAATAAAAAATATATCAAAATAAAATATGGTCAGTGAACACCAAATATGAATATATGTAAACTACAGTAAAATCGTATAGTCAATATGAAACATATTGAATTAAATTGGTATACCAATTTATGGCACGAAACGCGTCAGTGAGGAGCTACAACAAAGTGACGTCACGCTGCTGAGACCCTGTGGTGGTCCGGCAGCCATCTTGCGTGTTCATGGTCAGTGTTTTTTCTGTTACTATATTTTGACTGGAATACATTTTGAAGCAGTATCACGCTATGTGGACTCCTCCTTTTTTGGTCTCTGTATGAGTCCAAACATTCGCAGAGTTCTTTGCAGAGGAGAGATAAGATGCTACCATCCAGGAGTCACCCAGGGAGGAATCCATACCAGTTGGGAGAAGTCCCCTCTAAGGCGCCCCGGTTTGACCTACTGAGACATAGTTTTCTCAAATGCGCAATAACTTTGTGCATCTGGTGAGTGCGCAATTTATATACTTATCACTAGAAGTGGCTAGGAAGAAATCCTCATTACCACATTTCAGATCTTGACCATCACATGGACTTTTTGTGCACCATATAACAATCTTTATGCTCACATTTACTGCATGATATTTATAAGCGCAGCACCTTTATTTATATTATTAATTTTGGAGAGGTTGTATCGGTACCTTTTTTGGTATCCCAGCTGCTTTGATATATAGCGCTCACTTTTTCTTTTTTCCATTTATCCTGACTTGTCTACCTGACAACAAATAATCTAGACTTTTATAGACTGTTTATTTCCTGATTTATATCAAAGATGCTGACTTAGCCACCTCTTCTGAATTTGATTGGTTGACTTAAGTCTGGGCTTTACCTTTTTTGGTCAAATCCTAGAAGAAGGTGTAACTAAGTCTTACAAACTAAGGAAGTGATTTTGCATTTTCATACAAGGAAGTATTTTAGCAAGCTTGCAGTTTTACACAATGACATGTTTTTCAGCCTTGCAGTTTGATACAAAGAAATGTTTTTGCACACTTTGCAGTTTCAGACAGGAAAATAACTTGCAGTTTGCATATATTTCAAAAATACAATTTCTTAAGTAACCCTTTATAAGCAAGCATAAATGATTATAAATTGAGCAAATGATTAATAATTGAGCATCTAATTTTTCTAACATTTTCCCCTGTTTATACTCATTTATGACAGTTCTTTCAGCACCTCGGCTTCCAGGATTTCATGTCAAGGTTGTATCAATAAACCGTAGAAGGAGTCCTCGGACACAGGGAATGCAACAGCAACCTCACAGAGTCAACACTGTAGCAGCCATTACTATTGAGATCACCATATTTCTTACCAGCTCACCCCACTTACCAAACCAGGTCTCAAAAAGTCCAGCCAGAGGGTTGTCCACTCCAGAATTTTCCACCAGTTCTTTAGACAGCATCTGCAATCCTTGCAGGGCCTTCATTATGCTACCATCGGGGGCTGTCCTCTCTCTGCTAACATCATATTGAGAGCAATACGATTCTGCCAGGCTGTCAATGGGGTTGCATCCAGTTGGTTGGCTACTCCTTTAAGGACATCTCTGGTGTAGTTTACAAACCTTTGCTGGTTATAGTAGATGTAGTTTATCCAGTCAACATTCTTGTTAGGTTGAATCCACAAGAATGGGCACAACATGGGCTCTTCCAGATACCCTACTCTTCTTACTTTATCTCGCTTTAATGGCATAATTGTTGAAGCCCCAGTCTTCAAAGGCAGAGGTCTCCCTGATTCAGTAATTCCCACACTTAAGCATGGAGGTCTACCTCCCACAAGATCTACTATAGTATAATGAAGGCTTACGTCACCTGGTGTGAGGAAAGATTTCACCGAAAAAAAATATTTAATGGGAAGAATACTAACCTTTCTGCAATTAGGCCTGGATCAGAATTTAGCCTAAAGTACCATTAAGGAGCAAATCTTGGCACTTGCATTCTTATTCCATAGACTGGTAGCTTCCAATTCTTTGGTCAAGATTTTGGTACAGGCAGTCTCTCAACTATTTCCTCCTGTACAGCCCTGCTATGACTCTGAGGGATTTGTATTTGGTTTAGCACTTCAGAAACAGCCTTTCGAAACTATCAAGGATACTCCTAGTGAAAAGTATACCTTATGGCGCCACTCCAAGCTATGGATGGAAGGAAAAGGATCACTCCACCAGCAAGTGAGAAGAGGGGAGCAGGAGTCCGAGCACTTCCAGTGTCAGCCAATACAAGTCAAGAGATGGATGCTGCTCAACCGACCCCAGGAGTCTAGTGTTGAGGTATGGCCTTAGCTACCATTTTGGGCACGCCCTCTGATACATTTTATGACCAAGCCCTGGTGGGCATGATGAGATGCATCAGAGGGTGTAGCCAAAACAGCGCCTCCACGTTATACAAAGTTTATGGTTGTCTTGCATGAACTGCATGTTTTGAGATCTCCCCAGAATGGCTTGATGATATTAAGGTCAGGAGACTGTGATGGCCGCTCCAGAACCTTCACCTTTTTCTGCTGTAGCCACTGGAGAGTCAACTTTGTCTTGTGCTTAGGGTCATCGTTGTGCTGGAAAGTGTGTCCCATGTTCAACAACATTCAGAAGAATGCAAATTGTCTGCCAGTATTTCCTGGTAACATGCTGCATTAATCTTGCCATCAATTTTTCCCATGCCTTTGGAGTTCACCCCCCCCCCAAACATCAGTGAGCCACCACTATGCTTGACAGTGGGAAAGGTATTCGTTTCGCTATAGGCTTTGTTGACCCCAATTTAAAAAGCTACAGATGTGGGAAATTAACCTTTATATTTCAATATTTTTTATTGAGAAACAGGCATATAATAGCAGAAAACAGGATGGCAAAAAAAGAGGTCCACCTACATGGTGGGACGTTATATAGAATCACAACACTGATAGGCACGCAAAAAAATTTGACTAACAATGGCAATAAGGATGCACACAGAGAGTGCCATTACCATCAAGATGTACAGGTTTCATCAATCAATAAACAGAGACTAAACTGTAGGAATAAACCAAATGTAACAAAAACAATGCAGCAGATAAAGTAGAAAAAGAGAGAAGAAAGAGAGAAAAAAAAGGAGGAAACAGCTCCTAAGAAAAAAAAAA